GTCTACAAAATGTTAGAGTGTTTAATCCTAAAGATAGCTCCAGAAATTGTTTTTACTGCTATGCCATTTTAAGTTTGTGATATTCTTTTCACATTTCTTCAGAGAATATCATACCACATCATAAATGAAAAGTCTTATGAGAAATTTATCTATAGACATTACTTCCACAGCTCTTAATTTTGTCAAGAATTCTTCTTTTGTCTGATTACTTCTAACTCTCTCACGCTATTTCAGCTGCTGTCTCCACAGGTTCCATTTCTATATGTATTTTTCAGAAAGGAAAAGTCTAAGAAATACTTTGTGTGCTTTTTTTTTTTCTGCTAAATCTTATGTTCTTTTAGAGCTAATACTTACTACAAATGAGCAGCAACTGGAGTATACCGAGCCCATGGATTGCCAACAAGTGCATGAACTACAACTACATGCTTCAGAGATTTGGCACCTTTGAGACCTTGTTAGACCATGGCTCCTGACTACAAGCACAGTTAGCTACCTAGCCTGCTGACAGCTATTTAGTTACTGTCAGCTGACGTCTCCTTTCCTCTGGATTTGTGGTCAAGTTTGGTCATAACTAACTCCTCATGTATGTCTTTTTTAATAGATATAAAGCTAACTCAGACGTGCTGTCCAAGCTCATCATGAACTGTCAATTGTCCACTAAGTATTAATATTAGTGAGCACTGACTAGACAATTGGCCCACAGATCTTCCTCCCCCTTGTTATTTAACCTAAGAGAACAAAAGAGAACTTAAATGCTCATAATCTAGTAATAATCCTACTACTGTCCAAAAACTGTGATTTTCAGGAAAGCAGCCTGGCAGATGTTCTAAAACAACAAATTACAAATGTGTTAGAAACTACCGAAGCCATAAACTAAACAGACTTTTATAATCTCCAGGACTTGCAGTCCCTCACTGAAGAGAGCCCCTCAGAGAAGAGACCACTGTTGCTCTGCGTCTGTGACGTCTGCAGAAGACCATGGAAGAAGACCACCATGATTCACTTCTCCAAACATGAAAAAACTAATAAAATGGAGACCTTAAATACTTCAGCTAGGAAGAGAAATTTTTTTTTAGATGATTCCTACGAACATTGGTAGGGCTTTTAAATTTCCAAATTTCATTCTATCCAATGGAATCTTAATTCTAATTACACATCCTGTTTTCATTGATAAAACTGTCAATGCTGGGTTCTGTGGTACATATTTTTTTTACAGGATATTACCTGTAAAAATCCATATTCACTACAGCCTGCTAAGTTACAAAGTAAACTTTTTGAAAACAAACAAAGCCTCAAAAAGTAAAAAACACACACTTAAGGATCTTCTGAAACTCAAACATTCATTTTCCCCAAAAGAGATAAATACACAACTTCTGCAAAAAGAGGTTCTGCAAAATTGACTGCAATTAAAGTCATGACTATTTAAATCACTAAAACATAGATTAAAAAGCAGTGGACTGCGATAAAAATGAAACCAAGTAACAAAAAGTAATATTCTAGACTAGAAATCAGATATTTTAGAGACCATTCTAACATCGCTTCCCTGTTTTTGCATAGGAAAGGGCAGCCTTTGTAAATAAGTCCTGATTAAAGTGGCATGCTACTAAGTAGCATTCAAAGTAAGACACAATGAAGATGCCACAATGATGGAGCTCTCAATTATATTACAATAAATCTAGTTGGTGCTATCACAGTTATAGGATTCTTTACACTATGATAAGATCAAAATAATTGATTGGTGTGCTTTCTACTGAGAATGTGAGCAGCATGAGAAAGTATGTCTCTGAATGTTAACAGTATGCAGACAAGTGGCATTTACATAAAGATCCCCCTTCCACTGGCTATTTACCTTTGGAACTGCAGTAGGGGATAGTTTGAGCTGGCTTCACAAAAACCCAGCCCAGCAATTTACAAAGCATCTCACGCTGAATACCACTTTGTGACCAGACAGCACTTAGAGGACAGATTATCATAAATATTCAAAATAGCAAATCCCAGACAGCACTTAGAGGACAGATTTTATTATCATAAATATTCAAAATAGCAAATATCATTCAACTTTTAAATGCTCAAAGTTTTTAATAAATTTCATATGCTTTTCAGTTTAAGATGGCACTGCAAGGAAAACAGAGGTGCTATTTTTATTATGTGAACTTAAGACTATCAGCTTGCTATAATGGTAAGACATTTGATTATTAGGACACACTCAACTGTCACCATCTGAGCTGCAAAATTCAAAATGTTAGAAAATAAAAATTTACAAGGATCTGGAGCAGAACCTAAATGTCAAATCTGTAAAAAACTTGCAAGAAATCAACTTATTCTATATAAAATGACAACAATCTATGGTCTTTTAATGAGAGATCCAAATGTATGTTTTTATGAAACCTACCTAAAATTTGTATTTATAAAATACTACGCATATATTTCATGAAGCAAAAAATATTGATATAAACATATTTAAAGCATTAAAACGTAAAATGGAAAATTTTATGAAGATAGAGCATATAGATCACATATTTATCTAATTCACGAAATGACCGTAAGAACACCCTATTTGGTGTAACAGTATTTCAAAGGCAGTCTGATGCAAAAGTGATAGTGACCTAGAATGATAGTGATAATGACAAACAATGCTCAAGAAGAAACTGTTAGTACAAAAGTGCCATTAATGGCTGTCATTCTAGTAAAACTTTGCTCTGAAGTTTAAGAAGTGGTTAAACCAGCACGCACTGGTACCCAGGCATCCCTAACAGTCAAGCCATTTTCAGTTAAAAATTGGTATTGATGAAGACTCTGAGGAGTAGAAATGCAGGGTACATTATGAGCTACTCACTGAAAAATATCTTGAAGAACCAGTTAATATATATATAGCCTGTAATTTACTTCAAGTGTGTATCTATTTGAAACCCATAAAAGGTAACTGGCAAGCATCACTCATAAACAGTGAGATCAAGGAGCTTTAAGCTGCTTCATTCCAAGATATTTGTAATACTACAAATCTAACATCTGACCTAGTCACCACAGAGAGAGATAATATGTAGCAAAAATCAGTTACACTCTACATTGTCACACTGCAAATAAGAGTGTTTTGGTATTTTGACAGAAACAGAGCCTGGTCAGATATGTGATGGCAGGTCAAACGGAAGCATTTTGTGACTGATTTACAGATTAATAATAATAAATAAAATTTAGTCTTTCAATTAAGCAGTTATAGCTAACAGAAGAAAATATGTTTGGAAATCTGTGCTACTATTGTAGCAGAAGTAGAGCAAAATTATATAAGTGCAGCTTTGATTAAGAAAAAAGGAAAAGTAAAATCAAACAACGCCCCAACCCTCACACACACATTTCACTTTTTAGTGTGTATGTTCACTTCTTGGATTGCAAATGCTGTTCTTTCCGACAAAAGCAAACAAACAAAAAACCTACCACAGGCTTTACCTGCAGCCAGAAAACTGTTTTCTAGTAGACCTGAAAAAATGATTTCTCAATGCAAGAAACTGTTTAAGGAGTTCTGCAATCAAAAAACAATTTGGCAGATGCAACTTACTGAGTATCTGACTTGAGACATTTAGAGCTTCAGGCCACCCTAACATCATGTTTTTCTGCTGCTGCTGTTAGATCAGTCATTCTAGCCTGGACCTTAAGTGGCTGCTGACAAGACCCAGAAACCTCTTTCCATGCATTTCTTTGAACTAATCATAAAGCAAGCTGCCCAACAAACCAGCATTTGGAGTCAATGGCTCCTCAGGTTTATGGGTGACAAGTTTGTAATTCCTGACCACATTAGTTGAAACAGAAGGTTTAGCAACCAGAATCACACATAGACTCATGGGCAAATGACTCAGAGATCCCTATGTAAAGCCGGAACACAACATTATGAAGAACAGGACTGGAGAGGAACTTTATTTTCCCCCAAAGCACTAACAGTCCTATTTCTTACAGAAGAATATCTAACCTACTTCAAAACACCTCCAATCATGCATACACAGACACACAATCTTGCACTTTCCCAATCTTCTGGAGCTTTCTCCATCTTCCATGAGCTTTAAAAAGGCAGTTGCTGATAGTTTTCTGATCGGGTCTTGCATTTACTTTGAAAGAACTAGAAATTTTATGTTCGGAGGACAGCCTGCTGACTTTGAGCTTAAGAGGAAGCTTTAAGCTCATACCCTCACCGCATGCATGTACTTCTGAAAATAAATCAAAGACCTACTTGGCCTAGGAATCTCTGAAAGGGAACAGACCTACTACTATGGCTATCAGTGAAAAGCAGAAGAGAATCATTTATGCTAAAGGTATCAATGAGATCTTGAGTGGAGAACTGTTTAACAATGTCTGTTCGGAAAAAAATGAAAGCAGCCCATGGTAATTTTCACAGTAAGTCATATATCATTCTGAGGGATTCCAGAAGAGAGAAAAAACTAACACCATGGAGGATCAGACATCGACTTCGTAAGAAAACTCACAGAGTCTGGTCTTTTTTGGTACAAAAGACAACACCGCATAAATGAATAAATTTAAAAGAACCATGCATTTTTTAATTTGTTTCAATAGGAACCAATTGGAATAACAACCGACATATTCAAAGAGGAATCTATACTACCTTGTCATAAAAAAGAACAAAAATGAATAGGCAGCCTTAGTTAAAAGGAATAAATGAAATGGCTTTGTGATATGGAAAGTATCTTTCTTCTCAGGTAGTGTAACAGATTCCCAGTGTAACTGATACAATACTTAGTCACACAAAGTTCAATAGATTCTAAATGAAAAGCACTAATCAACATTGCATCTAATAAAAATAGCTCAAGGAAACCACAGAAAAACTTGAGAAGGAAAAATAAATTTAAGAAACTATTTAATGTAAAGTTTAATTGGGGAAAATAAATAATTTATTGTCTTTTTTTTTCCAAAATGCATAGAGAATGAAGAAAAAAAAATGATTTTTTTTCTAGTAAAATGACAGATAAAATAGGATGTTTTCTACATTCGCTTACCTGTTTTCATTTCTAACAAGCGCTTTTTCTTTTGTTGCCTCTCTAGTTTTTCCTTCTCTGCTTTCTCCTTAGCTATCCTAGCACGCCTCTGTTTTTCTTCTGCTTCCCTTCGTCTCATATTCTCCTTTACAGCTTGCTATAGGGGAAAAAAAAGTTCCATTAAAACTGAAGTCTTAACAAGAAGTAATTTGAACCCTAAGAACAAAGAAAAAAAAGTCTAAAAATAAAAAGCACATCTTACAATTAGCCTTAATTTATCAAGCTGAATAATTATTTTGCATTCCATATTTAATAATTTTATTCGGAAGACTAAGCAAATTAAGAATAAATACATTAGAAGCATATTAATTAGCCCCCAAATGGGGATATGTATCTCAGCAAAAGATACAGCTTACAAATATACATTAAGGTAGGAAGAAGACAGAGTATCTTAATTACCTGATTTCACAATACTATAAATACATGTTTCTGCTAGTAGTTCTAGAATAATTTCAACATTTATTCTTTCTCATGCTGCCACTACACCAAAAAAGCAAGGCTGCTTGGGTGATTTAGTTGTACATTTTTCTTATTCTTAACCACAAACTAATTCACCAGGTTTATAAATTCTTGTCTTCTGGCTAATACCCATATAATGTTGTTTACTTCGAATTATAGATAAGTACTCCAAAGCCTCCAATGAAGCCTGAAGAGAGTTATCAAAGAACTTCAGAGTTTTTAAAATCAGTATCTCGCGTATATGGAAATCAAGCAAGGACATTTAATTGTGTCACAGAAATTTTTTAACAATGCTATTTTAGGATTGTCTTTTAGTCACCTAACTTCAGTGCTGCTAACTTCAGTGGTTTGCTGTGGTTTTTATTACATTAAAAAAAAAGGAATTTTGCTGGAGTATACATGCCAATTTCCCTCTGTTATCTCTCCCCTGTTTAAAACATATTTGTTTTGTCCTGGTTTGACCTGTTTCTAAAGACAGTTATAATTTTTTCCTCCTCCTCCTCCATTTTTCTAAATTTCAGTGTCTGATAAATGAATCTGGTATAGGAGAGACTTTTAATATATTTTTTAAAAATGTTTAGAATAAAAACTAATTTAGCCCATTATTCTTCACTGCAGAAAGCCTGTATTTTTGAAATGCAGTTACACGGAAAATTCTCATTATTCACAACAGATGGAAGCACTTCCCCCTTACAAATGTCTAATGTCTTCATACGATCTGAGGCAAAGACTACATGTTTGCAATCAATGCCTCACGTAGCTTTTTTTCTACACTGACCCCTATTTGCCAGCCAATAAATAAAATGAAATCTAGATTTTGATTTTTTTTTTTTATAGGAAAGGCATACATTTTAAATATAAAACATTTTAAGAAATTTTATCTTTAAGTAAAGAACAAGCAGTCTTTAAGCAGAAAGAAAAGCATTTCTAAGAAAATAGTAAAGAGTTTCAATGATTCCCCCTTTCGTTTATACATGCACACAGGAAGCTCACTTTTAAAAAACACTTTTTTTTTTTTTTTTTTTTTAAATTTCCCAACTGTTCCAGAAAGAACATCTACAAATATTTCAAATTCCATTATCCTTACCTGAGAGAATTTAGGACACAAACTAACATTCCTGATACGAATACCAAGCATCATTTGAGAATGGGGAAAAATATTTTTAGTCTGTTCAACAACTAAATGATTACGCAAATAACTTCTAAGAACTAACAACAAGCTTAAGCATAAAATTGTGAGATTTTACCATGAACATTGTCCTGAAGTTGTTCAAGTCAGTTAAAAACTCCTCGACTGACACTTTCTTCAGGTCAATGGCATAATATCCCATCACGTTCTGATACAACTTTTCCATGTTCTCATGCATCCGGGAAAGTTTCTGAAAATCTTCTCTGGCATGAACAACAAAGCTGTATAGTGCTGTTAAGGCTGTAAGAATACTTAAGCAAATCCAGTCAAAACCATAATTTTCCACATTTTTTTGTATTTCATAAACATTTTTCATTTGTTTCAGACAAAGTATGAAGTTAATGCCTTCCGTATCACATCCACCTCATAGTATTTAGTGTATACATGAGCACTCTGAAAAAGAACAAGAGTTTTCAGCCGCTTTTACAGTCTAATGGCATATTTTTAAATTATGTGTATATATATACACACACACACACACACACATATTAAGCACACATACACACATATGTGTGTGTGTGTTTGTGTATATATTATTTTAAGATAAAGTGTGTAATTTTGGTTTATTGAATTTGGTTCTGCATCCATATCAAAATATATGAAGAACAGTGAAAACAGAGTGTCAAGACATATTTTTAAATATGCTCATGTTAAAGTTAGAAATATTAGTTAATATTACTAAAATGTCATTTACATAAAATTCAAAATGGAATTTAGATATTTAGATACAGATACAAATTACTAACCTGAACAATATTTCAAGAAAAAAAGGTGGCTTCTACTAAACATACAATAAAATATTAAAACAAAAAGAATCAAAACCATGCAAGTCAGAGACCTCATGTTAACAGCTTTTGTAAATGTTGCAGCAGTAGCTGCAGCAAAGCTTTCATTTCTATTCATGATGCCTACATCAGGTATTTATGCTTTTTAAGGCAATTTGCAATGTCAATACATCTTAATTAAGTTGGAGGTGAAAGCAACAGAACTTCTACTAGAGACAATTTGTAAAAAGCACTAAAGCCCTGCAACACGTAAATGAAGCTTAAAAACAAAAATAAAAAAAGAAGAAAATCTATGCTCATCTAACTTGCACGATAATATACATTTTAGTCAAAGCAGCAGCTCAAAGAAGAAATATCACATGTAGTTATTTCCCTACGTGGCACCACTTCATAAAGTGTTTATTTTAGTGGAATGGCAGCTAGAAAAGTAATTTTGTTCCATTATTTTCATGCTAAAGGAAAAGAAAAGACAACTTTACCTTTTCACCTGCTTCCTATCCTGATTCTTGCAGAACGGGACATATTGTTTGTCATATGCAAACTATATTTGTTTACGACACATAATACACACAAAGACTACGGCCATTTTGTTTTACGAGTGACAGCATTTTAAATCCAGTGAATTAAAACCTAGACAAATAGAATTTTTGTCTGCCTGCTGTTCTAAATACAAACAACCACCCAGTGCTCAGTGAGTGCTTTAAGTCTCCATTCTTTTTTTTTTGGATGCTTTTTTTTAAATCATGTATAGTTTTCACGTTAAATCTCATTTGATTTTCAACAAAAACAGGCCCTTCTTTTTCATAAAATTACTGTTAAAATACCAAGCAATTGACTGGACAAGATGGAACTCTTGAGCAGCTTCCACCTGCCTACATGAGAATTGATGTCACAGTCACACTTTTCCTTCCATATTGATTTGGACCTCTGCTCAGCTCCCGAGTTACACAAAGTTTATAGGAAACTAATTATCTTCCAGCTCTCTACATCTAGTGAGTTTACTTAAAACTATTAAGGATGTTAAAAAGTTACTGATGGGAGCAGGAGAGTGAAGGAGACTAACATGTAACTGCTCAAGTCTTAAGGTAAAAAAAACACCAAAACAGATAATGAAAAACAATAAATGACACAAATACAAGTTAGGACTACTGAAACATATAAGTCATCACCAAAAGCAAACAAATAGAAAACATTATAATAAGGGAAAAGAGGAAAATTAATTTTAGTCATGATATAAATAAATATTTTTACATCCTATTTATTTTAGAACCTTCCTTTTATGGTCTTATTTGTGATTCTTAGATCATGGATCATCATCCTACAGGATGTAACTGTAATTATAGCTATTCTAAAGGAATAAAAAACTGCTTCATTATCACCATTTAAACTGACTCTCCTCGAATACGTGAGGTACGCTTTCATATCCCAAATGGGGCATTCTAGAAAGACTTAGTATTAACCAGCATTTCAAAGGCAGACACCCTGAGATTTTTTTTTCCCTCCTGGTGCATTAAGGGATACCCTAAGCACTTGTTTTCTACTAAGACTATGCTTCTATTTAGGCAGTTTTAATAAATCCTGTTTCCTTTTTTTTTTTTTTTTTTATAAATATTGGCTTTTGTTAGCCAGCAATTGCTAAACTGGAGACAACAGGGAATACGAATGGGTATGATGATCCTAAATGTAATTATTGACAGGTTAATATATATGCATTATCAGTTGATGCAATCTATTGACTTTGGATGAATGAGGACAGCTGAGCTGCAGCACAGGTGGGAGAAAAAAGAAATCAAGATGTTAGTTATTGGTAACTTTTTGTGAAGTAGCATCACTTCATGGACTGCCTTTTTGGACTTATGGGACTATAGATCATCATTCTGCTAATTAATGGAATATAAAAGCAGTGAAGCAATGAAATGACTATTATCTGTGGCAAAATTTCACACTCCTATGTTTGGTCTTGCATATTTATGACAGAGCTCTTAGTAGTGAAGCGCTTGAAGTTTATGTTGATTTTAATGTACAGTGCAGGGTATCCTGACAAATAAAAACAGCTATTACCCAGAAGTAGATATAGGATTAACTTAATCTGCATCAAAATATTTCCTGAAAAGAACACATATACATAATGCATTTGAATGAATGCATTGGTTAGTTTGTGGTTAAGTGCAGACAATCCAAAACAGGAACATGATTCTGCATAAGAACAAAAAATTAACAGGTACACAGATATTTGACCAATATCTTCAAAACAGAATTATCTAAAGCACTGCCACTATACGAGCTAGCAAGTCTTGCTAAGAACATACTGAACCTCTCAAAGGCCTCTGCAAAAACACATTACATTTTTAGCCAATGCCAAGAGTGAGATTTTTTCAGGGCTCAGATGAGGATTTTTTCTTCATTTTTTCAAGAAAGCAATTGTAATATAATGAAAAAAAGACTTCATCATACATAGCATATGTAGCAAGGTTCAACAACAATTCCTTATCTGCATATAATAGTTCAAGAAAAAAAAATATGTTTAGATTTTTAATTCATAATCTTCTGAGGAATATTTGCCTCTCTCTATGCATATACATATATATATATACATATATATTTCTTCACTCACCCTCTCCTACCTATTTCTTCCTTTTTATACTAAAGACACATTGGCATGTATTTGTATCACCCATAGCCACTGCATTTAGTTTTTTTGCGTGTGCATATATATCAAATAAATATAAATATATATAAAAGATGTGTGTGTGTGTGTATATATATGAACCATATATATATATATGTACATAAAATTAAATTCGCACTGTGGTGTTTGCCCCAGTCCTAATTCATTACCTGCCAACATCTCCAAAGACCAATGTAAAACCCCTTTTCATGTTACCCGCTCAGGCCCCAATATCTTCCAGCCCTGAGGATGATCCCGCACGCTTCCCTTCGTTTACACTGCACAGAAGGACGTTCATGCTGTGTGGCTGATTAGGTAGCCAACAGTTTAAAGGCAGCGTTTAGTCCTGCTTTTACAGCTGCAGTGCTTTTCTTCTACCTCATTTGTGTCTAGATGACCGGGTAATCTTTTTTTTTTTCCCCTAGCAAATTCAACAAGTTAAAGTACAAGTGGAATAGAAGAAATCAGAAAGGATGGACAGTGTCTGAGCTGAAAGGCAGTGACCAACTCCTTGTCCCTCAAGTAGCAGTTCTACAAGCTCTGTGAAAATCCCCATCAGCACCACAGTCAGCAGAGGGCTCAGACATGTCCAAGAGAGCAGCTCTCTTGATACTTAGAAAATCATGAGATGCCAGCAAGGTGGATAGAGAGCTTGTTCACTAAATTAAGCTGTTAACATGCAATTTTAATATTCTTCATAAAACCACTATATTTTTATTTTGAACTTATAAGTGTATTTTGTTCAATGTGCTTTTTACTGAACATTTCCCTGAATGGACTTAACACTAAATAAATATCAGTTCAATATTCTTTGACTTTCCTAATTAAAGTAAACAAAAGTCTTACAATAATGACAAAAATTTCTTTTCAGCTAGCACACATAAGATGACTGACAAACTAGTACAATCTAATATATAGGAGAAATATTCATAATTACAGACTTTGTCAATAAAAGAGTGCACCAACTGTGCATATATGTGACTTCCTAAAGAAATAAGAATGCTAATCAGTTCATTAGGGGACTCTGGGTTGTGATATTTAGCGACAGGATGTAATAGCCTGCTTGTCCATGGAGCCTAATTGTACTCAGGATGAAAAATTATTTCCAACAAAGCCCCATCCTTCCTCTTTCAGATTCCCTGCTGGTTTCTTTTTATGAACTGCATGCCTTTCAAGACATCAGCATCATTCAGCTTTCCTTGTCATAGGAATAAAAGTAAAGCCAGGTCCAGGCTTCATCATGCTGTGCAGGATTATCTAACCTTTACATCAAACCTTTTTTTTCCTCCGTAATTTATTGAAGCTCCTGTTTTTCTAAGAGAGAGCTTCTTTAATTAGTGTGTTCACAGACATTACTACAAAACATATGCAATTTCTCTGTTCTGTAAATTACTGCCTTTATACTGGGAGAGGTAATAGGTGAGGACTAAATATTTCTGTTCATAATATTTACAGTTTAAAATGCTGTCTGAACAACCTAATATAATGAAATATGTGGCATTGTTGGTTTTTACCTGTAATGATTTATTTTAAATAAGAGCAAATATTCATCTCATGCTGCTGACAGCAGCCAACTCCCAATGGTTAGGGAAAACAGGAAGTAAACAAGGTGAGCAGAGCACAGAAACTCAGCTGATGGAGTATCAGCTTTTAGCAGCCTGCAGGTCAGTGATTTTCCAAGGTAAAGCTGCCCCTGGACTATTGTGTTTAATAGCTCCAGAAATACTACCTCTGGGTAACTAAGTCCTCTGTGAAATTCATTTATTATTTTTAACCTCTATAACATCCAGAAAGGTAAATGCTACAGTTAAAGTACATGTTGTGTAATAAAACATTTCCATTAGTATGTTTTAACCTGCTGTTCCATATTTACATGGAGGTGAACCCTGGTCATGAGAAACAATCAACACCCCTCTTTCTTGGCATAAAAAAAAATTACATGTATTTTTATGCATTACTCCATAACTATAGAAATTCACCTGGCCTTTTGTGAACTAATCATTCAGTATCTGCCTTATGTCATAGTAGAAGTTATATTTTTAAAAAAATTAGGTATTAATCCAGAAAAATTATTCTACTTTTCACCTGAGAAATTGTTTTCGTTGGAAGTCTTTATTATAGCTTCTTTTTGCAACCAATTCGGAAATTCAAGAATGCTCTGCTGTTAATCTGCATGCTCTAAGAGATGTGTGAGGCACGGTTTCCCTTAAAACAAAACAACCGATCAATCGATACCACCTCTTCCCAGTATCATATCTCCAATATAAACAGGCTCTATTTTTATGTAGTTCTCCCTTAATTTTCTTGGTACAGAAGCAGGATTAATAACCTGGAATTCTTACTTCTTTCTTACAGCACTTTTAAAAAACTACCCTTGTTGTCTTCCCTTCCGTGGTGCCTAGAGCCGACGTAGAGGTTCACTTAAGTTTACATAGTCCAACAGTTTCACATGTGGCTCACTTTCAAATCATTTGTTAGTCTGAAGTGACCACTGCCTTATTCCTAGGGATTTATTACTGCTTATTTTGTTTTCTTTTAAAACTTCTATTGACTCTAGCATTTCAGATTGTCCCTCAGAAACCAAAATTTCTCCCTAGTGAAAAATGATGTAAAGAATTCATTTAGCTTTTCCATTATGGCTTTATTTTCTTGGCAAGCTTTGACCATCTATCAGGCCTACATCTCCTCTGGCAGGATTCCTGCTTGAGATGCTTTAAAACAAACATGCATTGAGCTTCCTCTCCATCTCTCACAATGATCACTCTCCTTGTTAAGTATCAGTAAATTGCCATAATACCTCTCTTATATGGGGACAGAATTTAAATCCATAGAAAAGTCAATATATTTATAGACAAGGTCTACCTATTGACCCTACCTGACTTTTAACATATTTTAAACTTACTACATTATTACTCCACCACTATGAGCAATTCTGTCTCAAGTGTAATTTATAATCTGTAGCACAGTATTCTGCTAACTTCTTGCTATCGAGTTTAAGGAATGCCCATTACGTCAACGACACAGAAGTGAAATGAGGCATCCTAATTAATCACTTCTGGATTTTAGATATCTGATATTTGCATCGAGGAACGTAATAATTCCTCAATTTTTTCTGTACTCTTTCTCAAGTGAAACTAATTTCTTCAAGCTACTCTTTGGTTCTTTGTCAAGCATTATGGGTCACGTCTCCAAATAAAGCTGTATCCTAAATTATGTGTTATGTATAAGTCCAGCCCTCAGGTTAGAACTGTAAGGTCTATAGGGTTTACCAAGTGAATTTAAGATTAAGAAGTGTTTGTCCTTTCCACACAGGTTTAATATAATTTTAATATTTTTAGTTTAATAAATATTTCTTAATAAATGCTTCCTGTTACATTTTCCAACGAAACACAGACTTTGCCTCTTTGCCTACCTTGGCAGTATTTCTGAAAATGCTATCATGGATATGTTTTCCACTAACTTTCCAGCAGTATCTTCCTCTTGCCTTCAGAACCTGTTCTCCTAATTCTCCTCTCTTTGCTTCTTCAGGGACATGTGTGTATCATACCATGGAGACACTGTTCTGGTGCCCTGCAACATATCTCTCAAAAACACTTCAAGCTGGGGAAAAAATAAGCTGGCAAGGAAAAAAGGAAACAAGAAAACAAAACACCCACACCAAGAGAAAATAAACAAGCTAGAAACCAAACAAACAATGAACAACCACCAATACCTCCAGCCTCACAAAAAGCAGTTAACAACTGAACGGTTGTAAGGACACCACAGGGAGTGCAGAGGGCATCAAGCCAAGTAAACTGCAGTTATCCCACTGAAGAGGGAATTGACCCTACAGCAGCAATGACAAGAGCCAGTATTTCCCTCAGAGTCTGTTACAGGTCCCTTGCTGTTTTTTACTTAATCCTATTTGATTAATCAAGAGGACTGAATAACTAAGTCCTCCTGACGCTGTACATGGCAAAGTAGCCTTCCTGTAATCATAAACATTCCGCTATTGCTGCCAAGAAGTTTTCAACCCACCTCCCTCAGCTGATGCTGACACTCTGCTTCCAGGATATCCCCAGTGACAAGCACACAGGGCAAACATCTGCTAGGGAGGTTTGAGCTACAGAATGCTTTCCTTTGCTTTAATTAAATGTTTTTATGCCACAAGGATTTCTTTTGAGAGATACTGTCAATTAACTGCAGAATTTGGAATAAAATGTGAGAAAATAAATTCTGTCAAAAATAAGATTAGAGGCATGGTTTCAAAATCTATAAGGGTAATTTCTCAAATAAGAATTAAGTTTTCACAAACAAATGATATAGAGTAGGTTAAAATTATGCACAAAAATAAAAATCTAAGTCTATTTAAATTACTTCTTTTCCTCTTTTACAAATACTCCAAAGGATATAGACATTTTTGCCACAAACTTATCGTGCTTATCTTCAGGAACTGGAAAAGTCTGTAAATCCTTCTCAAGCTGTTGGAGTTGTTTTTCCATATACTTCAGGCTCTTCTCCAGGTTTTCTGCTGAGACTAAAATATAGTAAATGCATTCTGTTAACACCTTAATCATAAAATATTGCTTGTAAAGTCCACAAGTTATAACATTACCCAAACTAGTATACCACTTCTGAAATAAAAATCTGAAATTTCTGAAATAAAAATCACATTAAATGAATTAGAGCAACAAGACAAATAAGTCACTCACACTACACTCAGTTCTCCTCGCTTATAATGGTGGCTTTATTCTGGTTAGATGCAGTTTGTTTGTCTGCACAGCACATAAAACCTTTTCTAACCTAAGGTTTTCCACTGCGAATAGCAGGGTTTGTTGTTTTTTTGTGTTTTTGTTTTTTTAAGTAACCAGAGATGAATATACCAGTCTGTCCTTTATCTTCTGATTAACTCCTACAGACAATGACCTGAAGCTACTCCAGCAACCACAAAGCTTTCCTCAATCTCATTTTGTTAAAAACGAAAACCTGAGCTTTTTGTCATGAAGAAAACAAGAACCTCAAAACAGAGAAGACAGAGGAATTAAAGGCTTAAATGTGAAACCTAAGATCCTGTTGCCTAGCTGGAAAGCATAATGCCTGGTAAAATGCCAAACAAAATTCATCAGAGCCAAAGCGCTTGTCACGTATGTGGGGAAGCGCAGGCGCTGAGGACACGGGGCACAGAGAAACAGGGACTCAGCAAAAACAAGAGTACACAGGAAACAGCAGAGATTTATACAGGGATGTAGGAAAACTGCAAGACTATGTTATCAGAAGAAGAGAAATTTAACTTTCAATCATCTGAAACAAAGCATGGAAATTGAACACCTAAACTGCAAATAGTTAATTCAAATATCATGACAAATAATACCATGAGAGAAATGCCTCAAAGAATGTAATGTATATTAATATTAATTTATATTAAATTTAATTATAAATTAAATTATATTAATTAAATCAGTGAAAGATATAATCATTACAACCTGATTATTTATGAAATAAACTTAACTTCACATTTAACAGGTAGTCCCTATGTCATGAGGTCCAATACAGATATTAATAAGAACATGCTCTAAAATGTAGTCTAATGACACACTTGAATTTTTCCCTTATTTCTTACTTTCATCATATATTATACCTATAAATGTATTACACATCTAAAATCCAGGAAGAAAGTTTATGGACTTATGATATCAACAGGATCTGTGATGAATCCATGATTTCACCCTGAGGAGAGTTATGTGACAGAAAACATGAGAAACACTTACTTAATGCACGTTTTTCTTATAAAAGGCTGATAAGAGTCCCTAAATGATTAGATTAAAATGTTGCATAGCAAATACAATTCCATTTGTAGTGGAAATGTTACTGCAGCTATAAAACAATCACTGTCAGCCCATGGAAATGCTAGTGTAGGCTGGGAGCAATAATCAACTTTCCCAAAAAGAAAAGGTATAATATAATACATGAGTACATACTGTAATTAGAGAGAGAGAAAAAAAGATAACATCTGATTACTAAAAGCCACCATTTTCCAATTGTATCTCAAGCTTGGCAGATTCTCCCTACAGAACAGATAAACTCTCAACACCACCAGGTAGGTCAGCTAGCCTTACTGCTTCAGAAACTACCTTGTCTGAGAAGCACAGCTAAAATTAGAAGCTTACAAAGCTAATTGCAGATGTGTCTCAGTCTTCACACATTTCAGAAATAGAAACAACACTGATAGTTACATAGAAATTCATAATTCTACTGGCAAAAGAATTTCTTTGGGGGTAGGCACACACATACTATTTAATATATTGTTTAGAAAGGTGCTAAGAAACAGAATATATACCTTTGGTTTAATACCACTATCAATTTTAGAGAGAATTCTGAACAACACAGTTGGTCTTACCTATGAAGAGACTGTAGCATAAAATTAAGATAAGATAGTTAGAAAGATCAGACCTAGCAAGAAGGCATGACTTCTTTTAGTGTGTGTTCTGAAGATTTTTTTCTCTGTCAAGATCTTAACTTGATCCTGAGTATAAATTGAACATGCCTTCAATTTTAGTAATGACCATCCATTAGATTTATTTTCATTTAAGTCTATATTTGTGGTGACAGTCTTGAAGAGCAGCTAACTCGCAATATACTGGTGCTACTCCAGCTTTCTGTCTTTACAGATTTCAATTCGGCGAAAAGAGAAGAAAATTGAAAATGGAATATAAGCAGCTCTTCAACAAAAAGATCCCACGTAACAGAAATAGCTGCCAACACTACCTCAGTGCCCCTCTAGAAAATATGGTATGAAATCTAAAGGGAATTAGAAGAATTGCAGAAAAGAATAAAATGAATTAAATCTCAGGGTTTTTCTGGGATAACCCAAGGCCAAACTGAAGTAACTCATTCATTTAATAGCTTAAAAAGGAACCCAAGGAGTAGGTTTTTGAATGTTAGTCTGCACCCAAAGCTAAGGTTTGTTGCATGTAAGACACGTCTGTCTGAACACATTTATAACTCTTAGATCCTCTTCTGCTCTTTAAATACTTTCACAGGCACTGATGAAATGTCATCACCTTCTGTCTTTCAGGGTTAAAACAACTTGGTTTCTTAAGCTTCCCTTCTCGATTCAGTTTTTCTAGTAACACGATCTAGAAGCTTTGGCACTTACTTCATTTTTAAAAACTTCTGCATAGCATTTCAGATGACTCACCAACCCTTTTACTGATGTCATTAATATTTCTTCGGCTCTACTGAAAATACCTTATCTGATTATCTTCTGATCAAATAGCTACTTTCTTTACCAAAGCTGTTATTACAGTATTAATATTCATGGTCTCGTACTTAATACTATCAAGTTTCTTTTGTTTTATTCTATATACTTGGGACCATTTGGTGATGGCAAACCCAGCTTCTTCCGAACTGGCAGCGCCTCCCAACCTTTTGTTACATATGCTCGCTGGCAAGACAAAAAAAATAATAAAAAATAAAAATAAATTACACCACGAGTTCTGTAATTGCCCAAATCACAAACTTCTCCTTCAGTTTCTTTAAGATTTTCTGATCACATCACATTATTAATGGCACAGTGAACTAGATAAAAATCCTACTTACTAGAATTTTAGTTCACTATCTCAGTTATTTCAGAATTCAGAAATGAAAAATAGTATCTACAACATGACAATTTGATTTTTGTTTCCACAAACTTTTAAAGCAACATTTTGACCTTCTCCTGCTTAAAATTAAGGCAATATTTCTTCCACCTTTGGGGTTATATTTGCTTCATCTTCCATTTCAGAAATAATTCTCTAAAAAATAATTCCACTAGCGTACTTTCTCACTGTACATCTTTTACTACTTTTTTCCATAGAAGTTTGAGCTGATATTTTTAAATTCATCCCTTTATGTACATGCTGTCTAAGCTCGATGACAGTTTTCTTTGATGGTCACATTCTCTGTATCGAGAGAGTCATCCTCTCCCATAGAGATATTTAGCTTTCTTTGTATCTATTCTGGCCCCTACATTCTTAGGGGACAATGTGACAGCACCAAGCTGACCTATATCCTCTGCTGATGTAGAAAACTACACTGTAGGGATGAAAATAAAAGTGATTCTGACAACGTACTATTGCTTTTGCTGTTTGAACTTCATGAATGCTGGACTCACGGACTTCAGTCTGCTGAATAACTCTCTAAAGATGTCAACATATTATGAATGCAGCATTTCAAAGTAAAACACCTGTGTTGAATGACAAAACACTGCGTCAAAATCCTGCTGCTCGCAGAGGGAAAAAAAGAAAGACCAAAATGCAGTATTTCATGGTCTTGAGCATTAAGAGGAAGCATTTCAGACACAAAATATTAAAAGGCTTCTGTAAATAAACACCAGCACAGTAATGGTGGAATAAGATTTAGCTGGACATGTTCTCTCAGTATTACCTAAAACTAAAAAATCCAATATTTATGTTTATTACTTCCCCAGATGACCTTTTCTCTTGCCTTCTCTAGCCACTTTAGACCTTGCTTGCTTTTTTTTTTTTTTTTTTTTTGTAGTGAGCAGCATACTTTATGGATGGCAAAAGCCTAACTTCTCCCCAAGGCTCTGACAATGTCATTGTCCCTTGAGCTCTAAGAAAGTTCTCCCTTCTGCAGCCAAAGTGGAGACCAGTTGCACACAAACAGGGGCACTCTAAGCAGGATTTAATTAACTTTGTTTTGCACTTAAACATGAACACAATAATAGAGTGTAGCTGGTGATCGATATACACGCATTTTTATATCCAGCTCACCAGTAAAAATACTGCTGCCATCAGTCAAAGTAGGCATCAGATGCCCACATAAGCTCCTGCTTCCCTCAAAGCTGAGCTCTCAAGGCTCATCATCTCGATCCTGTCACTAAGACTATAAAGGACTGTGCTAACTTCAGGCCATCACTCGCGGTATCGTATAATCACAGTCAACTGAAGATATGATCGTTAGGAACTAATTGTTTTGAATATGCAGTAATAGTGACGAATAATGACTGAGATCTAACCGCTAACATGAAATGAGCTTTTAATGTTATCATTAACAGTTTTAAACTGGCCAAATTAACAAGTCTTCTAAGCACTCCCATAACAGCAATCGTTAGCTCCCTGAGAAATAAATATATACATATCTATGCATGTGAGTGTATGTTTGTATGTACACACATTTAAGAAAAAAAAATAATGGGTAGGCATTACATCTCCAAAACTCTATACATATTCACTATTCAGCTTTTTAAAACCCCACTGCCTTTTCTGCTATGTTAATGCTCCCCTTGAAACTAATTTCTGAGTAACATATTTGATGTTTGATCTTTCTCTTCTAGCAGGTGTCTAGCCCATTTTTCTGTGGTGCATCAGTAATGTTTCATTTGTCTTAATTGAACTATTGCTAAAAATGCTGCAGAGCAGCAGAATGTTTAAATAACCAAATATTTAAACACAAATGGCTGATCTAAAATGTTAGAAATACTGGATAGCTTTACTTGAACCCTGACTTTGAAGTTGTAAACATTATTAGATAATA